GCCATTTTTGCCATGCTGAGCAACAATTAATTACTGTAGGGCTATTTGCGTTATTGTAAGGTTAGGTTTAGGGTTGGGGTGTAGATATTAATAAAACACAATCTAATAGGTAGCAAATGTAATTTCTTATTATTTTCTGGCCGTAGCTGTATCCCTTCAAGCCACAACCGGGGAAAATAAGGTGTATAAATACGTTAATTTGTGGACAAGTTTAGTCTTTAGGCAAGTGCGAGTTTCTTTCAAAAACAGTGACATCGCCAGCTTCTGGCATGGCATGCGTAATACAGCATTTGAGATGTTTTTAGGAAAAAAGGTTTTCTATACATCGTTGTCGTGTAAACATACCCTTAAAAAAGCCTTCATTTGTCTTAAGAATTGACTTCATGACTGAAAAGCACTATAACATTATAAATCCGATAATACAGGTAAGTTAATATAATTCATGGGAGTATTTAACATTGGTGTTTTATCAGGGCATTTGCCACCAATTTATAATGCTCTAGCTCTTTAAGGTCAATTGTTAAAAAATCGTTCTGAAAGTGTTAGCAACAGTGTTTTTCTGTGATGTTATAGTTATAGCTGTGGTGTGGACTTCACTGTTCTAGTATAATTAAACTTTATAGTTAATGTTCTGGTTGTAGCTGTCATCCTTGCTGTAAACGGCCTTTAAGAATAAGCTGTGGTAAAACAACCAGCTAATCATGGCTTGTTGGATTAGAAATCACTTTAAAGTTGGCTCTCTATGCCCATCATGTATGAAAGGCCTGCAGTGCCTTCTGTACCAACCATTAAGCACAGCAGGTGCTGTTTCGTCTGGCAAGGGGGCAAGTAACAGTGCCAGCAGTGTCACACCCTGCACTCAGGGGCCATGATAGATGTCCTGACCAGGGCTGCGGTGCCACTGTGGGGTGGTGGCAGAGTGTACAGGCATGTTTCAGTCGACATGAAAGAGAGGGGCCCGTGTTTGAGCACACATATGAGAGTGGGATGTCGTGTGTGTGGCTGTTTTGTACCCATGCCAAAAGACTCATTAGTTCATTAGATAGATCCATACACTCTGATGAGAGCGTCAAACACAACCACTCCCTTGAGAAGGACGAATGTGACCGTGTGTGTGCAGGAGGGGCTCACACACACTCATATTGACAGTATGTGAGGGTCGAGATGCTGCCCTGTAGAGGGAGATGTACAAGCCGCGGCCTGTGATCTTTCAAGCACATGACAGACGTTCACGGCAAACAGCTGGTCAGTAATGGTCCATGTTGGCCTCTTTTCCTCCTCTGTAGACCCATTATCACCTTCACCCTACTACAGCACCCACAAACCCCTCTCCAGCCGACCTCATCAAAGTGGGACGACCTGCTGTGACCTCATCAGAGCTGGCTGACCCATGATGACCTCATCAAAGCAGGACGCCCCACTGAGCTCAGAGACTGACGGCTTGCGCTGACCAAAAGCGGGCCATCAATTATCAGTGAGTGTGACACCGCTTTTACTGTGTACCTTACATTTCAGTTTCCACTTAAATAAGGGACAACTTTGGTCTCGCAACACTTTATTGTACAATAAGGTCTCGTTAGTTAACGTCAGTCAATGCATTAACTAACATTAACAATGTGTAACATTATTTGTTTATCTTTATTCATGGTAGTTAAAAATACAACTGTTCATTGTTAGTTCATGTTAGCTAATGTAGGTCTGTTAAATAATATGTATAAAAAAAAAAGTACAAAAATACAAATTGGGCTCAGGTGCAGGACAAAAAAACAAACAAAAAAACAATAGATGTGCGTACACTGAAATTGCACCGTTTTGACCAGTCAGGTCTAAACAACTTTGGAAATTCATTTTTCCACTAAATAGTATTAACAGATACAACTTTTGGATTTAATGTATTAGTAAATGGTGAAATTAACATTAACTAGGAATGCTTTAGATGTATTTTTCATTGTTAGTTCATGTTAACTGATGTAGTTAAATAATGTTAATAAATGGAACCTTATTGTCTCAAATAAATGAAGTCACATCCTACTCTATTATGGAAGCTTATGGGTAGCAAAATTCATTTTGAAATGTAATATGCAAAATGACAATGCAATATGTAAAATGGCAATGTATTTCTGTATTTAAATTTACATTTTCCAATACATAGGTGCAACATTTAGTTCAAAATGAAAATGAAAATGCAATTATATAATTTACATTTGCCATTTCCTACACTAGTTTTAATTAGGTTATTAATAAAAAAAAATGTAACGCTTTATAAGTTGCAAAATTAAAATAAAATTGGATTACCCAAATTTATTAGATATGTTTAACATGTCCAAGCAAAAACTGTAGCAAAATTATCATTTAAATGCCATTTTTCCTAAATGCATTTAGACTTACGAGTAGGACACTTGAGATTGCATTTTCATCGTGATACGTTTGCCACGTGATAATTGTAGCAAAATGCATTCTGAGCCAAAGGTGCAGCAAATGGGTAGCAAAAATGGTGGTTTAAATGTCTTTTATTTTTCTTAAATGCATTGACACGCACTCTTATACATGTCGTGTGTACGTACATATATTTTAATATTTTTGAAATCTTTCACAAAACTATTGCCACCTCATATTTTCATAAAAAAAATGTATGAGTGTACATATAATTTTCCTCCCATTTCATTTTTTTGAACCATCATCATGTCCTTTTAGAGGCTCTGTACAAACAAGCCTTGAAGGGATAGTTCACATAAAGAATTAGAATTCTGTCATTTTCTCACCCTCATGTTGTTCCAAACCTGTATTGACTTGCTTTTTTCTCCAGAACACAAAAGAAGATATTTTTAAGACCAGTTAATACAAATGAAAGTCAGTGGGGTTCAAAACAACATTGGACCCTGTTGACTTTTATTGCGCACACACACACACACAGTCTGGTCAGCTATCCTTGTGGGGACTCTCCATAGGCGTAATGGTTTTTATACTGTACAGACCGTATATTCTATTGCCCTACACCAACCCTACCCCTAACCCTACCCCTCACTGGAAACTTTCTGCATTTTTACTTTCTCAAAAAAACTCATTCTGTATGATTTATAAGCTTTTGTACCCGTGGGGACCTCAATTTAGGTCCCCACTGTGACACGAGTCCCCATTAGTCTGTGTGTAGTCTGGTTTAAGTCCCCACCAGGATAAATAAACGTGTACACACACACACCAACCACCGTTTTGCAAAATATTAGCTTTTGTGTTCTGCAGAAGAAAGAAAATCATAGAGGTTTGTAACAATACAATGGTGAGTAAATGTTGACAGAACTTTCATTTGTTTGGGTTGTAGTGACTGTGTTTTGTCTTTGCGCGGCAGTGTCGTCTAACCCTCGTAATGCGGACAGGGACAACAAAATCGAGTTTATGTTGAATGAAAATGGCAGGAAACACAAAGAGCTCTTAACTAATTTTCCCAAGCAAATCCCACCCTGACTCTCATCACACACAAAACCTCGATCCCAGACAAGCAGTCATCACCCCTCTGTCCACAATGACATCCACCCACTACAAATCAGAAAGAGAGAGAAAGAATAAGAGGGTGAGGAAAGGACAGAAGGAGAATAGATGGACTGGAAGAGAGAGTGATAAAAATGGCATCCCTCTGGAAAAAAAGAAAGACAATGGGGAATATGATTAGGAACGAAGGAGGGAGAATTATGAGGGTGAGAACGAGGGGTTCTGACCGGGTTGGCTGGAGAAGTTGGATCCCGTTTAAACAATGAGAGAGAGACGTCAGTCGAATGTTGTTTCTCATTGAGAGTTTGAGCGATGAGCCAGGTCATCACATCTCTCCACCTCATCCATCATTTCCCTCAAACAAACGAGTGCAGCGTGCATTCTTGCCTCCCTCCTCTGCCTTTCAGCCGCTTTTCTCTCTCTCTCTCGCAGACTCTCTCTGGCTGTGGGACAGTGGATCTGTGTGAGAGCGATGACCGGGGATCAGACTCGCGCTGTGTCCGTCTGGCAGTGTGTGTGAACCAGATTTTTATGTGTCTCGGTGTGAAATAACACGAGTGGGTGTGTGAGAGAGCAGCTATCAAAAGAGTTTTATTCTGTCTTCAGAAACATGTGTGTCTGCGGCACACTGAGTATCTGTGTGAGAACATCTTCTTGGCATCAGCTTATTTTGGTCTCTAATTCAAAGACATAATTATGAAAAAGCACAATATATATATATAAAAATCAAGAAAAACTAAATACAAATGATATGAGAAAATTAAGTATTTATATATATATTTTAATTATTCAGTATCCTAATGTATTGCAAAAAATGAAAATATTACAACTATTTCAATACTGTAATAAACTTGATAGTATTTTTTGCATCAACTAAATTTACTTAGCAGAATTGGATGTAGTAAAAAAAATCTGTGCCTGCACAATTGTAATGATTAAAATAAGTGGAATTTGAGACCTTTTTCATGACAATGAATTATAATTAGTCATATATTGTCAATGTTTTTTTTTTACATTAAAATCAACATAAAGTAAATTTGGTACAATAAATACTGATATAAAATATACAATTTTAATATAATAATATTTAATATACTATTTAAGTACTATAAATATATTTTTCATTGTCTTGAAAAAAAAAAATCTTATTAAAGTAAAGAAAAAACAAACAAACATTGCACCTGCACTATATAATTATAATTATTGAAATAATGGGAACTTAAGAATTTGAATTATAATAATTATGGTCATATACTGTGTGGCCAATTAGAACCAGCATAAATTAAATTTAGTACAATAACAATGATAATAATAATATTTAATATACTATTAAATATTATTTAATATACCAATACTTAATACTGTTATAATACAAACAATCTTAGTCCTTATTTTCTATATGCAAAATACAATTTATATATAAATATTTTTTGTTTTACTTTTGGGGTGAAATATGACCTTAAAATTTCTTTTGTTAGAGTCACCCTAATACAAACAGAGACAGAGCCGGTGTGAGAGTGCACAGTCCGCCCACATAGGAGTTTTTTTTTTTATTTCTCAGTAACTCCTCCCACAGTATTGAATTATAATGCAATACAGTTACATTGTAGAAAGCATTAAAACAGAAGTACCTCAACTCACTGATTACTTTTAAAAATGGGATTATAAACATCGACAAAAAAACAAACAAAGTGAAATAGGAAAGATCTGGTCCTTCACCTCGTGAGGATAAACAAAATCTGGCATTTCTCCTAGGTTTGGCACAAGAAATCAACATGGACCCAAACGTCACACAAGCTTGCAGACAACCATAGAAAATGTCAGGTACAGCTTGGACCAATCATGCGTTTTATGAAGAAATAATATCAGCTGTTTTTATTCTTCTTTCCTTTTTTTCTCATTTTTTTATATTTTACAGTTGAATCAATAAATTGTCATACAAAAAAACCTACATAATATCTATATCATTTACCAGTTTTATTAGAAGTATAAGCTGTGATGGTACGTTTAATACTATCTGGCATTCAGACGTTACTACAAACCCCAGTAGAGTCTCTTCCCCCAAAATTTTCAATGAGAAATTCTTCATTTCAACACAAGGGGGCGCTTGAGAGCAGTGCTATTCAGTAAACAAACTACAGTTTGCAGAGAAATAAATACAAATTTCAAGATACACAGCAATAACATTGACGACATCAACCAAGAAATAAAAGAAAGACAAAAACAAAGCAACAAACGACAAGGGGAAAAAATAAACACAAGGAACCCATGATTGTCTATAAATGAAAGACACAAGGATGGTGTAGCTAAAGACGAGCATTCAGGCTATTTAGTGGTATCGTTCGCCAACTAATGGAAAAAGTTACCATGGAAATGATAAAATGCCCTTTACGCGAGTTCTACAGATTCAATTCTTAAACTAGTTTTTCAATTTAGAAAAAAATTCTAGTTTTTTTTCCCAACCACTCTTCCAACTTAAAAAAGACACTAACTAAAAAGCACACGTTTTCACACAAACTGGCGGGAAAGTGGGTTGAAGGTAATGCAGTGCTTTAATTGGACAGAACGTGTCTCGCGCCTTACACCTATTTAGTTTTTTTTACAAGCAGCGTCAGAGAGAGGTCTAAAGGTCACACCTTTTATGTGTATCTGTTTACGTTTTCAAATTCACAAACTCCTGGAGAATATCTTAAAAGAGAAACACTAACCCCACGACCCCTCACATACTTTGTAAACTTGTATGTTTCTGTACAAGACCTAAAAGAATGTTTGAAACACACACATGGTTGTTTTGCGTGTCTGTATTTGCGTTTATGTGTGATGGCGGTAATTCTAAAGATATTTACAGGCCGGTAAGCGGTTGTGCCTGAATAGTCTGCGATCACATTTGTCTTGTGGAAGACTCTCATTTGTTACTCTTAGTAACCATCGGTTTTAGCGGACAAAACTCACAAACATGACACCGACGTTTCATTAGCAATCTCAAAAACTGTTCACCAGCTGCCACTGCTCTGCAAAACATTGGAACTTGACAGAATAAATACAATTATTATTATGTCTTACTACTATTGTCATGATCGTCTTCATCATCACCATCAAAATTACTGACACTATTGTCATTCCTACTAATCAATAAGTCAATCAAACAGTCAGTCGATCATTTGTTGATGTATGTGGGACAGTGAGCTGCTATGCACAGGATCTGGGTGTGTGTGGTGGAAGTGAATGAGGATTTGGGCACTTGTGCAGGCTTGAGTGTGGACCAGGGACTCTGGCGGTAGTCTAACACAATGTTAAGTTAGGTCACATGGTACATGGGCGTGTCATACGTGACTGAGAGACTGAATGTTGCTGGGTTCTGCAGCGCGGGCCAAGCTGTGCCACATCGGGGCATTATGGGTAGACGAATGGAGTGGATCCTTATCAGCTAGGGACAGCATCATAGCATATGCCTTAAAAGAGAGATATACAGTTACAAATACACCTATCAACTATATTCATGGAAAATGTATTTTGGAAAAAAAGTATTTCATAATAATAATAATAATAATATTAATGATTCTATTATTATTGTCATTAATAATCATTAATAATACAATTAATAAAACAATAAAATAATGTTAATTTACGTACACAAATTGTATTCATGGAAAATGTGTTACTTGTTTTTATTAATAGGAAAATGTATTTACTAATAATAGCAATAATAATAATAATAATAATAATAACAACAATAAAATAAAATAGTAATTCTATAAGTAATTTATTTAAAGGATATTCATAAAAAATTTTATACTTATTATTAATTAATAAATAATTCCATATTGTTAATTGTTATCAATTAATATTAATAATAACACCAAAATAAAATATTAGTAATTAACTACGTAATTTATTACATTTAGTGAAATATTAATTTAACATTTAATATTTAAAATAATTTTCATTAATAATGTTGTTATTAATATCAATTAATAATGCAATTAATAAAATAATAAAATATTGTTAATTATAAAACAAACTTATCATGGACATTTTGATTACTGTTATTATTAAAAATACTTTATCTGCTACTACTACTAATTATTGTTGTTTTTTATTATTATTAACAACACTCAAATAAAATATTAGTATTTAAATAAGTAATTTATTTTAAAATAATATTGTAAAAATTAATATTCTTTTTCTGAATTTATATTATTTTGAAAAAGTAGTTTTAAACATTAGTTATACCTGTGATTTAGATTTCCTGTATAGAGGCTGCTTGATGCCCTCTTGCAGGTGGGCGGGGCCAAAGCTGGTGACGTCACTGTCGCTGAGGTCTCCGTCCTCCATACTAAAGTGACGGATGTGATCCAGCGTGGAGAAACTGCTGTGATCTTCATCGTTCTCTTCCTCATTAAACCTGCAAATGATGCAGAGATTAATTTACAGCCACAAATTAAATGCATATAAACAAGTTTTAATTTATCTGCATACCTTTGTGGTGAGGATTTGCTATTCATCTCCAGATCATCTGGTCCCTCGAAATCGATGTCATCATTTATGTCGTGATCCAGACTGCTGGGTACGCCATCCTCGCTGGGTTTCCTGGCACTGTCGCTATGCTCCGCCTCCTCTTCCTCTGCTCCGAGCTCCTCCCCTTCTTCTTCATCCAGGTCACGTGACCCCTTACCAGGCAGGGCTTTGTCGCCATCAAAGTGACTGCCGTTCAGCCTACGGAGAACAAAAAGAATCATTTGTAATGACATTATGCAGGCATGAATTTTTGACTGATACGCCGAACCTTGATTACAGAAAGAAAATCATTTAGCGCTGAAACCAAGTTTTGTTTGCCTCGAAAAAATAAACCATCTTAAAAAGCAGAACCACATGCCCACGCTTTCTAAATGAGAGGAAATGCTCAGAGAAAGAAGGCGAGTGTGTTGGAGAAAGAGACTGTTTGTCATCAGTTATGAGGGCCCCTGGTTGGCAGAAATGAGCCGCCCATCTGCAGGGCACTTAGACAGCAGGCCTCTACACTTCCTCTCACTTATTTTCAGCTCTCGCTCTCACTCAAACATCTCACATCTCCTCTTTCCCTAGTTTATTTTCTTCTTTATCTCCAATTCATCTAATAGGCCAAATATTTAGCTGACAGCCCATTTGGTGAGTGGAGAGAAGGAGCTGCCAAAGCAGCCATTTCCCCACAGAGACAGAGGCCAGCTATCCAAACTCACACACACACAAATATACGCCACCCATATTAAGGCTGATTCACTCGTTTTGTCCCGATTCTACTATTTCCTCAACTTAAAATAGCAACTTCCCATCTGAAGTTTAAAAACAGAGAGGGAAAAATTACAAATACATAGAGGATGGGAAAATATAAGTCTGTCTGTACAGATGTGCAATGAATATCTATCTATCTATCTATCTATCCATCCATCCATCCATCCATCCATCCAGTGTTGGGGAGTAACTAGTTACATGTAACGGAATTATGTAATTTACCGGTAATTACAAAATAAATGGGTTACTTTATTTTAAGATGTCCTTGTTACAGTGTAATTATACATTTAAGTACTGAGTAATATTAATTAACTAGATGTACTTACTATATGGTTAGGGTAAGGATTAGTGTTTGGCTTAGGGTTACTTGCATGTAATTATGCATAATTTATTGTTATTATAATAGCAAGTACATGCAACGTGTAACAAGGACACCTTAAAATAAAGTGTTACCAATAAATGTAAATGTAATCTGTTTCAGTTACTGAGAAAAATGTGTAATTAAATTACAGTTACTTCTGAAAATGATAATGATTACAAAGGGAGGTTACATCTGAATATTTTTACACACATTTGATTGATTTCTTTTCAAAATCGCATTGACTGCTCTAAAACCAATGTTTCAGGAGTTTAGATCACAGAATAGATCACAGAATAGGACTTACTTGATAACCAGTTTGGTTCCAGTATTCCAGTTTGGGTTTTAAATTAACTGTTTTTTCCAAAGTATTGTTGGATGCCAGTGTTTCCTGTCGTAGCTTTTTGTCGTATTTGATTTTAAAAACAGTATCATAGCTATTAAACTATGATACTTGTTATGATTTTAAATCTGTATTTAACCTCAGAACGATCTCAAAGTAAAAAGAAGTGCTAAAGTCTGATTGCTGTGCTTTAAAATTAAATTATTATAATCTTAATTCTAGTGATGACGGATTTTGAAAGTCTCACAGTAATCAGTGTGGAGTACAACTGTAGGGTTAACCCTGCCTGGTTTAAAAGTTTGAAAATGATTAACGGTTTAGAAAAATGTTGAAAAAATTTAGAAATGTAATCAAAAAGTAATCAAATGTAATCAGTTACATTACTTTAATAAAGTAATTAAAATAGTTACACTACTTATTACATTTTAAATATGGTAACATGTTATCTGTAACTTATTACATTTCCAGAGTAACCTTCCCATACTGCATACATCTATCCATCTATCCAAACATCCATTCATCCATCTATCCATGTTCATATTGTATATCAACAATCTTCATGAGAAATCTGGGACAAAGTTGATACTTAAGTGAAACATAACTTGAGCAATTATGTCTTTGAGCAATAACACGTTTCCTCTAGGTTTCATCTCTCACCTCCATCTATTTCATTTACATCTACATCTCCGTTCTTCCCTCAGATTAGTGTAAAGTCGCAGGGTTGACCGTATAAAGCCCTTTTCACATGTCTGATAATCCCGAAATCACCTTCTCTCATCACTCCGCACACCGCTAATACCGCGAGAGAGGGAACGAGAGAACGAAAGAAGCAGCGATGGCGTGATGATGAAAACAGATCGGCTAATTAGAGAGAGCTGTGGTAATTTGTGGAGGATAAAGTATCTATCAGGAGCAGTCACTCTGACAGGAAACATTCAGCGACCTCTGACCTCCTCTCTCACACCTACTTCCTGTTCACAAACACATGTTGGGACCAGATGTGGGACGTGCGCAAACACACACACAGCCGATGTTGTAATGACTCTAGGATCTTTTTCATGAAACAATGAAGAAATCAAAAAACAAAAGCATGTAAGATCTTTATCTGTCCCACACACACACACACACACATGGATGACCAGGTCAAACATTTAAACCGTCATCCAACCTGATGATCATTGCTGGGAAATTATCTGCGATAATTATCATATGCAGATGGCAAAATTCATGTAAGCGCACGCAGCCAAAAGTCAACAGCGCTCTGCACGCGCTCGCAATCGGCCAATCAGTAATCACGTCCTGCTGGAGACCTGCCCTAATCTTTGCTCTTAAAAACCGCAGGCGACAGGCTAATGATTAACAACCGTACAGAATATATGTACGCACACAGATACGTTCACATGTGCGCTTAATACACACTGCCATACCCGTCCGCTCCTTTCATGTGATGCTATTCACTCAGAGGTGAGGGTTAATGAATAAGGCATGAGAAGTGTTGTGTTCAGTAATGTTTGTGTATAATAACCTCCAATCTGCCTGAGGCAACTAGCGCCAACTGATGACTGACAGCCTAATGGACAGTCGAATTGCGTGTGAGTTTGCGTGTGTGCGTGAGCCCACACATGACTGGGAGTAAAGTGAATAGCTAAACTTTTACATAGAAGCTCAATCTGTGGACTATGGACATACATTGATTTGATAGACAGACAGATAGATAGAAAAATTAAATAAATATGATTTTAGAGACTAAATTGCATTATAAAAAATAAAAAAAAACTTTATATAAAATATTATATATTAATAAATATATATTAAATTATATATATATACAGTACATATACACACATTAAATAATTATTATCTAAAAAAATATAATAAAATGTATACATTAATAATAAAATAAAACATTATAATTTGATAGAAGGACAGAAAATGATGAGATGGACTGACAACCCGTGTGAAGATTTATTTGAACCTGTTTGTATAAGCTCAATGTTTGAACATATGTGTTTTTGAACACTAAGCCAAGGCCATGAGTGAGCTGTTTTACCCCCAAAAAGTTGGATTTTGTGTATGATCAGTATATTTATTAGTGTAATTGAGGAAGAAGATGGTGTTTACCCTTCCTCAGAGTGTGACGGAGAAGTGTTCCGTGCCGTGTTACTGATGAAGTTTCGTATTTCGTTAAAATACGAGTCCTCCTTGTCCTCCAAGATGGCACTGCCACTGTCCAGCTCTGAACGGGGCGACGACATTGCCGTGCCTACACGTAAAAAAACAACATATATTTGTATAATTTAGGTGTATTAATGTAAGTATCAAATAACCAACAGCTACTAATAAGGTTATTTACAAATGCTAAACATTAAAATGGGTGTTTTTTAATGAATTATATTTATTTTCCTATTTATTTTTTTTATAGGTGTGTATATGTGTATGGATACTTGATAAATTACCGTTCTCGTGTTTTTTGAGGTGCCGGTCCAGGTTGGTTTGTTGCCCGAAGCAGCGGTCACAAAGATGGCATTTGAAGGGTTTCTCTTTGTTATGGATGTTACGGATGTGACGCTGAAGATTCGACGAAATACTGAACGAACGATCGCAGTACTTACATCTGCGGACACACAGACACATATGAACATAATTAGACCATACAGTATTTACAATATACAGACACGAGAAATCAAACTCTCTCGTGTTATCCGTCTCGCACACACGCAGGGTCCTAAACACATGATTGAGTGGTCATGAACTCTGCGTCTCTAATCTTTGGCCAACTTAGTAACACTCAAACTCTCTCATCCACATCCTCCCTCCGCTCTGAAAATGACTGCATGAGCCAAGTCTCTTCACGCAGAATTATCCGTATGATTACGTGATCATATCTTCCCCTCCACCATAGAGTTGTGCGCTAAACTGCGTCTCCCAGGAACCTGTTATCTCTCCCTCTCTGCATCTCGCCCCCCTCCGAATGCAAGAGAAAAAAATGAAATGAAATTGCAGTTAAAGGCTGATCACCGGCTCGTTTAAAGCGCTGCCAGCACGAGGAGATTGAGGCTATCTGGAAAGTAACACAGCCCTGTACAAACCTCCCCTGTGGTCAGACGGACCACAAACGCAGTGTGTGCGCACGCCTGTTTCTGTGCAGTATTTTAAAACTCCCTGAAAGAGTCTGAGCCCCAAACACGGGCCTAATTACCCAGCTGCCTTTGCTGGCCTGCAGCTGTACGGCACTCATCACCTCCATTATTCATACACACTTCCTTCAGTCTCCCTGTATGTCTGTCCTTTTGTCTCTTGGACTTTACCTCACTCTTAGCCAGTGACAATAACTATGTAATATCAAGTAAGGGGGAAAAAAATACTGTATCTGCTTATATAATGGTTGGTAATACTTTCATAAATAATTTATGGAAACATTATGGACATGGGATTTATAAAATTGTGGCAGTGCAAATACAATAACTAATGTTCGAAAAGTACTTTTATTAAAAATGATAATCCCAATAAAGACTTCTTCTGCCAGTGGTTTGTGCATTAATATGTAATTCAACTGATGTGCTACAATGCTGAGTATGTGAATAATTGATTACATCAAACAGTATATATTAGTGTATGTGTGTGAGGGAGTGTCACCTGTAAGGCTGCTCTCCTGTGTGTGTCCGTAGATGTCTTGTAAGGTTGGCTGAGCGTGGGAATATCTTGCCACAGTATCTATAGGGGAAGGAAACAGATCTCCAGGAACAATACTCAGCAATACACACATACACACACATTTCCCAAAAACACCCTGCATTCCACATTCAGTGTTGTCATCACTCATTAAACATCAAACAAATGTTTACTTAAACATCTTATTAATGAAACAACAAAAACAAACAAAAGTTTTATTTATAAATATTATTTATTATACTTTAGTTCATCTTAATTAAGGGTGTCACAGTATACCAATATAGTTATTGCAAATAACTGTAATATTTATCAAATTAAATACTGATATTGTGTTAATACTACACAAAGTTAAAGATGAATTTGGCTGATAGCATTGTATTTTTTCCAGGTATCACGATAATTGCGTTATCAAAGATTAGTTTGGCCGTTATAATCGTGTAGCGAAAATCTGATATGACAGCCCTAATCATACATACTGAACCCGTTGACTATAAACTGTTTACTATATGATTTTTGTTTGTTATTATATCATTTGTTTAAATTGTTTGATTAGTTCTTATACAATTTGGGATCAGAACGATTTTTTATGTTTTTTACAGGAGTTTCGTATGCTCATCAAGGCTGCATTTATTTGATCAAAAATACAGGAAAAAATTTACTATTGTGAAATATTTTTATGATGTAAATTAAAATTTTTCTATTTTAATATACCTTCCTGTGACGCAAAGCTGAATTTTCAGCATCATTACTCCAGTCTTCAGTGTCACATGATCCTTCAGAAATCATTCTAATATGCTGATTTATTATCAGTGCTGGAAACTGTTGTGCTGCTTAATATTTTTTTCTGGATTCTTTGATGAATAAAAAGTTAAAAAGAAGAGCATTTATTTAAAATAGAAATATTTTCTAACAACATGCTCTACAGTTCAAAAGTTTGGGGTCAGTAAATTTTTATTCTTTCTTTTTTTGAAAGAAATTAACACTTTTATTCAGCAAGGATGTGTTACATTGTTAAGACGTGATAGCAAAGATTTATATTGTTAAAAAAAGATTTATATTTTGAATAAATGCTGTTCTTTTTAACTTTTTATTCATCAAAGAATCCAGAAAAAAATATTAAGCAGCACAACAGTTTCCAGCACTGATAATAAATCAGCATATTAGAATGATTTCTGAAGATCATGTGACACTTTATACAGGAGTAATGGCTGATGGAAATTCAGCTTTGCATCACAGAAATAAATTATATCTTAAAGTATATTAAAATAGAAACCATTATTTATTTTGTAATAACATTTTGTAAGATTACTGTTTTTTTGTATTTTTGATCAAATAAATGCAGCCTTGATGAGCATAAGAGACTTCTTTAAAAAACATTACAAGTCTTACTGATCCCAAACTTTTGACTGGTAGTGTATGTATTTTTTAAATTTTGTTAGTTTATTTCTTTTATAATTTGTTTTGTTTGTTTCACTCATGGTTTTTAAAAAGTAGATAATTCAAGTATTTTTAAAAAGATATGGTCTGTGCTATATATATATATATATATATATATATATATATATATATATATGAACACAATTAAGTTGTCAACATGGGAATATCTCTTCAATATCTCTACTGATTCTTCTGCACAATGAGATTGAATGCAGACCAAATGGAGACTTTTGCTCACATTTCCTACTTCTATGATTTCACTCCAGAGAAAAATACACCAGTAATTTCATGTGACTACAATATCTCAAACTGTCCTCAGATTTGCTAAAATAGCAAAGCGTGCAATTAAAAGTCCGTTTTAATGAGTTCAAATTTTTCTCATCACATACGTCCAAGACCAAATGATTTGTACTATGCTATCAAAATTAGTTTTATAGCTCTGGGATCTTACTGCATGTCAACAATTGGCTCATTTGTGTCTATATTTATTCCTCCCAAGAAATTTTAGGAGAAACATCAGAGAAATTAAGTTACATGAAACATAACTCATTAAGTCTTCCGAGCTATAAAAGCGTAATAAAACATTCCTCCGGGGCAGAGGTTTTGTCCACAAAGTATGTCTGGGTCAAAAATACACACACACACACACACACACACTTTTTATAGCCAGTTTGATTGGTACTTGAAGTCTAAACATATTACCATAGATTGGTATCTCTATGATTACTGTAACAACTAAGTCCAAAGAAATCTGCGATCGGCAGCGATTGGACTTCCTGGATCACTAAGTAGCCTTCACCCTCTCTGTGGTAGGGCAGCTGTTGAGTTGCCCATTCTCAGTAGTGTGTGTCTGAGAGGGCCTTCATTAGCAAGAGCTTTTTCAGTTGTTGATCTTATCAGGGTACCAGATGTCTTGGGTTTGGAAACCCCCCTTGTGCTATCACACACACACACACAGAGCGGGTCCCAGAGAGACTGTTACCCCTCCAGTGATGCGATGCTGTACGGGAGTGTCGCCACCCCAAATCAGAGCCGTGGTCTGTTACTCTCTCTGTGTAAATAATCACGCTCACTCACATTGACTGCATTATCAGGAGTAGCCATCAGAAATAACAACTGTTCTGTCTGGTTAACACACACACTGGCACACAAGAGTAGAGACATGCGTGCACCAAATGACACATGAATTCAAAAGACATTTCTTCGATGTTTAACCAGAGAGCATTTCATTTGAAAGCTAGTTGTGTGTTTTTATATTATCTAGAAAATCAAATGTGCTGTTTTATGGTACTAAAATCCAAAAAATGAATTAATCAGTCATCATGCATTGAACAGATCACGCAAAAAGTGTAAAAGGGCGGGTGTTAACTGGCTAAACATGGATCTTCTCTGAATGGAAATGACTCTGGACCAGATTTAGCTGTTTTAGGTGCGATTTGGTCCATGCATTTGTTTGTTTGAGCCATGCATTTCATCTAGCATGTCATGCTAATAGTGAACTGCATTGTGGGTACATGTGTATTGCAGAAGTTAGGGGTGTGTGTGTGAGGAGCATGGAAGTATTAAGAATGTGTGTGTGGGTGTGGGTGTAGTGAAAGCACGTGAATGACTCGGTTTGGAGTAACTTACCCATGTTCTCTGATCAGGCATGCGAAACTGGGGGCAGGACAGAAGGGAAACAGCAAATCAAAATCAAGAATCAGACTGATCATGTGTGATTATGCAATGTGATGTTTAGTAAAGGTTAACGTCCCACACTTGATTGACTGAATTAATTTGATTTGATTTTGTATTTAATTTAATTTATTTTATTTTATGCAGTATTTAACTCATTTTTGTAATACCATTTTTCTGGGGCAATGGAAGAAAAATGTGATTAAGAAAATCAACTCTATTTTCAATTTCTTGATAATTATTTATCATCAATTATTATACAGATTAAAAAATATATATATATTTAATATAATAAAATGTGAATATAATAAATATAACTAAATTAAATTAATTATTTAAAATTTTTTCCCCTACAATCCACTTGATCTCCCAATGTCTGAATTGTTCTCCACTGCCTAGCATCGCACTAATACAGTAGATTTAAAACGGCATTTCCCATAATACATCTGTGCTGTCAATAGCATCCCTGGTGCTGATTAGAGAGTCCAGTGAGCATAGTGCAACAAAGTGGATGCTGATAGGTCACCTCGTTAGGCAGTGTGTCAGGGACATGTGGACATTATCTTGCGCAGACACAAAGCATACACAGGGAATAAATCAGGCCAATGAAACAGCCCATAAAAACTGTCCTGAAACAGCCAATAAAACACTACACCAGTGAGCGTCTATGAGTGTACCAGACGTGTGTGTATGTGTTTATATGAGAACTATGTATTATTTTTTACAGAATACTTATAGCGAACACACAATGACATAAAGCAGATAGGTTACTTAATACACACTAATGAGACACTCAGGCACAAAACCACACACGTACACTCTGACAAAATCACACTGATTTACAATAAACACACACACACACACACTTATTCAAAGTCTCCATCCAGGGATATGGGTCAGTGTCTGGCAGTTTAACTGGGTATCATATTGTGACATCATAATCAAAGACACCCACACAGAGACGTGTCACAAAACTCCCACCCTGTCTGAATCTCACATCTGGACCTGATTACTCAGTAAAAGAACCACATGGGGGAACATGGGAGTCGCTATGCTAATGCTAAAACACTGGGGCCCTATAAAGCTACTGCCAACATACTGTAGCTATTACATCAATACGAACGTCACGAGGAGTTATTTTGTCAATAGTAGAAATTGCATACAATGGGACAAGTAATGTTATGTCAGCATTTAAAACTGCTTTGAATTTGGTTAATGTGCTGAACTTATTTTGAAGCAGCTGTAAGCAGTTTCCGCACCATTAGTGGCACTAAACCAAATTAGTTTATTGCAAAAATAATCATGTTATTGTGTGAGTAAAGTAAGATGTGTGACAATTCTGCACACCACCTTTTTGTACCAATGGTGGGAACTACTGTACAAAAGAAAGCTTTCAAACTGGTCATGCAGTACTTTTATTTGCATTTGAGTCTGGAACAGCTTGCATGAACACTGACTGCAGAAGCATAGAATGAGGCACTTCAAAGTAGGCTAATGATTTGTGCAGGACTGTAGGGACGAGGTGATAAAATTAAATGGAGTTAGCAGTGGGAAAATATTCTGATGAATCTCACCTGCGGGTGGAAGAGAAATCCAGGAGTGGGCCGCATATACTTGTCCTTGAGGACTTCGAAAGGATCGTTCATCTTTCTCTTCTCAACCCTGCTGATGTTAAACTTCTATCAGTTCTCATGGTAAGTAGTTAACCAAACTAAGCCAATTCCATTATGCTAAGAGAGTAGGAAGGACATGTGATTGACAGTACCTGTAAATGGGATCCATGAAGAAAGGCGTAGGTCTTGCGTGTTGGAGGGACGGGTCGGCCTTGGGTGGCTCCGGTTCCACCCTCTCCTCTCCAAAGACAGGGTTCTTTTTTAACTCCTCCCCTCTTACACTCTTTCCTCGACTTCGTCCACCGAGACTCAGGTCCAGTGGTTGATCCTGGTTGGCTGATTGTACATGTGAGGCTTCCGGTTTCAAAGGGACGCAAGTAGCGGCAAGACGTTCTTCCTTCCGTTTGGTGGTGAGGTCACAAGGTGATTCAGCGTTTCTGCCCTTAAGTTTTTTACCCTCAACCGGAGGGCTTTCTGGCTCCCCTTTGGGGCCTGGAGGTCTAAGTTGCTCCCTTTCTGGGAAAGGATAGACTGATGGAGAGAAGGCAGGGAAGAAAGACAGAGGGAACATGGAAGGGTATGGCAATGCCCCAACTTTTTTATCTTGCAGGCCTGCAAGTCCAGTAGAACCAAAGTATTTCTCAGCAATGGAGGCAATTGCCTTGATCGAGTCATTAACGGCACCAGAAACAGCCGTTTGCTCGTCCAAAGATGGCGGGAGGGGCCCCGGCACAGGCAAGTCTTTTCCATTATTGGTGTTGCTACTACTACTGGAGCTGACAAGAGTCGGGCTTTGGGCATTGTTGAACCCGCTGGACTTCCTTTTCAGGCCTTTCCCGTTTTCCTGCACTCGTTCCCGGTCGCTTTCCGCTTCGCTGTCCAACTCTGAACCTGAAGTGCTTTCCAGCTCACTCCCGCTCGGAGTGCTGACGTCGTCCAGATCGCTACTCTCCGACTGGTCACTCATCTTCCCGCCGTGCCTTGGTTTGGAGACGGATCCTTCCCTTTGATGCTCCATGCTCTCGCTCTCCCCGTTGAACGAATCCTTGCGTAAACTCTTCAAGAGGTCATGTGACCCAGAAATGGGTGAAGACAGCAGCGGACTCTTTCGTAGTTCACCGCTCGGAGGGCCGTTAATAGGAGATGTGGATGGGATTAGAGGGGGCCGGTGGTAAAGTCCTGATGGGAAAAGTCCTGGAAAACTGAATGGGAATGCCGGAGGGGCTGCTGGGAATGTCAGCCCACCATGGTGCCGGTTCGTCCCAAAATAGTCTGCTAAACCAGGACTCCCATGGCTCATTCCAGCCAGTGCGGATTTGTCCAGGCCAGGGGTGCCAGGGAGGGCCATGCCATGGGCAAACAACCCTCCCGCGGCAGCAGCAAAATGGTTTTTACCCTCGCAGAAGCGCCGATGCTTGTTTAGGGACGACGTGGTGCTAAACATCTGGCTGCAGTCTTTGCATTTAATCTGAGTGCGACAGTCCGCGTGCATGCGCTTGTGGCGGCACAGATTGGAGAACTGCGTGTAAGATTTGTGGCAGACCTCACCTAGAGACAGTGAGACATGGACATATGGCGTAAATGGATGGTCAGTTTAGCCATGCCACACATACATTCATTCACAAAACAAGCAAAAATGCAGGATAAGCAAGGATGGCAGACAAAAGAATGCAATGTCTAATGCAGGTGCACACACACACACACACACACACAGACAAGGACATTACAATGGATCTATTTTAAGCGTGAGAAGGAAACAGAGTTGAATGAATCCTCTCCCGCAGGTCCGTTCCCATGGACCAAGCGACGTCTCTGTCTATCATACACACACACAGGCATCTCACATCATTACACACTGTTAAGTCGTCAAACAACATTCTTAAAACTCATGATGAATCCTAAACTCTTGCTGTCAATGTCACTGCACACACACTCCGTCCTCACAGCAGTGTATACAGTTAAATCCCTAACGCACACTCTGAAAGTGATAAAAGCACCCTATACATTACCAGTCTAACACCTCTAGTGTGAAACGGAGCCTTTTAACCACTCGCATTTCTCATCATAATCACATATCCTATTGCAAACATGATGTTTTCAAAATGTATGGAATCTAGCGGGTGGTTTTGCTAATCCCTGTCAGATTGCATGAGGTGTGAGGTGCAGAATTAGAGGATGTTCTACCATGATGTGTGTTTATAGAGTCAGTCACTCAAACAGACTACTCAAGAGATGGGATGTAAATATTAGTGCAGAGTAAAAGGACGACTTAAAGACAGGATATACAGGAATGATAGTCATTATTACTTACACTCATGTTGTTACAAACCTAAATGACTTCTTACTTCTGTGGAACACAAATAAGATATTTTGAAGAACTCTTTTTGTCAGTGGGGTTTAAATCAACACTGGACCCCACATGACTTATTGTATGGACACTGTATATTTAACTTTTGCTTTTGAAATGCTTTCAGTTTTGGAACAACACAAGGGTGAGTAAATGATGGAATTTTCATTTTTGTTGAACTATCACTTTCAACTTTAAGAGTTTGTAGTGGGTTTTTCTGTTCACACACACACATACTGCTTGGATATCGTACATTCAAGAAGCACAACAGACATACGCACACACATCGCTTATATAATTGTGAACAACTGGACACACTCGGATGAACAGGTGTGAAATTTGGGGCGTGTGTGAGGGAAGATCTGTGGGCACTTCAGAGTGCTGTGTTTTGTCAGGTCTTAATAAACCGTAAAGAAATATTATAAACACATTCCGCAGTGGTGAACAGCCAGTAGTAAAATGAATGTGTATGAGTGTTTGTGTAAAAGGGAGATTTTCTCTTTTAGTTTAGAATAATTAACAATATTTTTGTCAATGTTTGTTTCAGTAATAAGTCCAGAATGAAGTATATGAACACACATGCAAACAAAGACACGAGCGAGTTTATGGCTCTGTTTCAAAACCTAGTGAGCTACCTCACTGTATACTGCCTTCTAAGGGATCATCCTAACCGAGATGAAACCTCATAAGTGACTAATTTGGAATGCTGAAACTGATTACAATTTGACAGAATTATATTTTATCAATACTTTTCAGTATTGAATTGAAATGTATGTTAACAAATGATAAAAGTAAGACTCTATAAGGCTCACTTGGTTGCAGAGCGTATATTTTCCTATGTATGCATCACAGTGCATGTGTGTGGTGTAGTTTGGTGTGTGTGTGTTGTTGCGAGGTCATTAAGTGTTGTTAGCTGTGCTTGTTCAAATGCTGATTGCTGTAAATGGCTGTGTGTTAGTCTCTGTACGAGTCGGCCTGCATGTGGTAGTGATTTTCCTGGAATGGCCAGAGTTAGCAAGCTAGTTACTGTCTGATATGTGGCGGCGGTGGGGGTCTACACGAGCTGTGTGGGATCAGCACTTCGAGGGTCAATGCATGAAGTTCAATCGTGCAAAGTTCAGAGGGCGCAGTACGATTTTAGACGTTTAAATCGGTATGATGGGCAAGTGAGTTCTTTATACAGGATGAGATTAAGAATTGAGGTCATTCGCATATGAGGTTGGAGGTCAGAGGTCATGCATTGAAATTGAGAGTGCAGAGGTGGTGTACTGACATGCATTGTAAGGAAATGTAGGGTAAAGTGAGCGTTCCAAAAGACTGATAGGATTATAAGAACATGATTATGTTGGTATACTGTATAATATTGTCAGTAACATTTACTCTAGATTTGACCGAGAATCAGTTGTTGGAAATCATCACACACCACAGCACAAATGAAGTGTACACATGGACAGAGACAAACACAAACATGCAGTCAATAAATACAGTATTTCAAACATAACAGCCTGTAAAAAAAGCAGTTTTAGGTTATAGCAAATAAACACAGAATAACACATTTTTTAAATAAAGTATTAATATATTAATTAAATAGTAATTAATATTAACATTAATTAGATGCAAATAATAATAATAAACAATTACACACTAATATTAATAATACTACTAATATCAGTATAATTTTCAGTTATTGCTCCTCAGTACCTCATGTTAAAGACAACATGAAATCAAAAATGACCCTATTTTAATTCTTAACACATATTCCTGTTCTTATTGTGCATGATGTATTAGTGCACCCATTTATAAAAAAAATTATTAAAAAAAATTCTCTATAACAACAACTCTTCTCTGACTGCCACTTTTCCCAATCCAATAAATTCCAGGTCAATACAAAAGTATTTTTTCTGCCTGATTATTCTGTTTTTCTGTAAAAAAGTAAAATGGTTTGCAAATGCTGTTTCATGTTGACTTTAAAACGTGCAAGATAGGGATTATAGACCGATTTGAAATGAACATAAGTGCTGGATAACCCAGGTCAGCTGGAGAGCTCCACCAGTCTTTCAAAAATTTTTGAATAGATTTGAATCTATCAAATCTATTTATGTTTATTCATTTGGTGGATCCAAAGTGAGTTACAGTGCATTGAAGGTATACTTGTCTTTAAATACCAGGTGAGGCACCCATCTAGAATCAAAAATTCAAAATTTGGCGGGAATTTCAAAAGGATGCTGGAGCTCTCCAGCTCTGCGGTGTGGTGTTCAGAGTAGAAAGCATGCAGACTTACATATGAAGGGTCTGAGTGACTTACATATGAAGGGCTTGACGGAAGAGTGAATGTGTTTGTGTTGTTTAAGGCCCGAGGAGGTGGCGAAGGTCTTGCCACAGTCGGGGCAGGCGTGAGCTCTCGCCCCTACGTGCTGAGAGCGAATGTGCCTCTGCAAGTTACTGGGGTCTGTGAACACCTGCTGGGTAATGAGAGAGAGATATAGGGACAAAGTTTACATACACAGCCTATAGATAGCAGGAATCATATTGGAGTGGATCTCAAGTGGTTTTGATTGGACATCAAAGTGGCAATCGAAAGTACCAGAACTGATTATTGTACAAAAGTAAACAAAAACGTTATTGTAAACAAACACTGACATCTATAGGTTCATGGTTATGAATTTGCCCTAACTGGACATAAAACCTTTGAAGTCAACAACAAAAAATGTTCTCCACTTTTATGATAAGGCTATTTATTTTGCTATCCAAACTATATATGATTATATAGTTAGTTGCTTTTTATTAATTGCATTTAAAACTGTTTTTTCTAGGGTGGAATTATTGTCGAGTTTGAGGTAACAGAAGGTGTGTTCCAGTTAAAGAGGCCTGTTTTTGCACACGCCTTTTCTAATGTATGGACTCTACCTTTGAGCAGTTTTCACATTCATAATGCTTGCCGCTGTCATGTGACATCTGGTGGCGAATCAGGTTTGATTTCCAGTTGAAGGCCTTCGGACACTGATCACATTTATATTCCCTCTCATCGGAGTGAGACAGAGAGTGAGCGTCCAGACTGAGACAGACAGAAAAAGAGAAAGACAGAATTATCAGATTTGAGTGTGTTTTGGTAGAAGCATGTATAAAATTAAATTAAATAAAATAAAATAGCAGTTTTAAAATAAAATAAAACAAAATAAAAATACTCAGCAATGTTCTAACCTCTGGGCATCAGGAAAGACCTGCTCACACTCCTTACACTCCTGTGGAGAGCAGGGTACGTTCAGGGGGTGAGTGTGTAAGTGCAGCGGGTCAAGATCAGGATCGTCCACTGCGCTGGGCAGACCCTGCTTAGACAGCTTGAAGCCGGAGGAAGGCGGGGTACCGCATGCATGCTTCTGATGGTCCAACAGCTCCAAACCAGACTCAAAGTTCAGGTCACAGTCCTCACAACGGTATTGACGCTCCTCTGCAGGACAACAGAATGAGTGAGATAGCAAGCGAGCGAGTTTGTGTGTGTGTGTTTATGTGCGTATGAGTGCAAACTCACCGTGTATGTCTGGAGCCATGGTCTCACATGAAAAATCCTCAGCCTTCATGAACAGTAAGAGTTCCTCACCCGGCTGGACCTCTCGGACCACACGGTAAAAGATCTAGAGAGAGAGAGCGACAGATGTTTAACATGGGACAGAATACTGATACACTATTGTTTAATGTTTTTTTTTTTTTTTAAGAAAAGATATTCAGCAAGGACACATTAAATTGATCAGTAAATTCATTAATAATGTTATCAAAGTTTCTATAAAAAGAAATATAAACTTTTATATAAATATATATAAATATAAACTTTTTGATGAATGACTATCTAATAAACAAACAAACCCGATAAACTTTACATTACTAACAAATCTGATTTTAGTGTCAGTGTTATTTGATACTTTTTATTTTATTTTACAGGTCCTCAGGATTTTCCAAATGGTGGAACGGTCTGTCTTTTTTAGGAGCATGTGAAAAAATAAAAAATGATTTCAAATGACAATACATTTTGATGGACAAACAATGATGGGAACCTGAGCTCGAGCGTGTGTGTGTTTGAAAGAGACGGTGTTAAAGAATCCGAATGGAGACCTATCTGTTTGTCACACAAACACACACTTCCTGCGTGAACACAATAGGTAGTGGGAGAAACAGTTGTGTTATTTGGATGGTGTTATTTTTGGCAAGCCTTGAAGGCATTAGACGGCTCACTTCCTGTTCAGTCTGGTGGTGACATTTGAGCATTCTTATTAGAGATGTCACTCAATCAGACAGACACGCACAAAACCTCCTGATAATATGATAAAGGCAACAGAGAGGTGGAGACCCCTTGGAAACGCCATGGTCATTATGTGTGCGAGTGTGTGTGTACAAAACCCAGCAGGCCGCGAAGGACACGGAGGGACCGAGTCCTGCTCTATTGTTTAACAGGAGAATACAGGGAACTAGCAGGACCCTCAAGACAACATGAGAACGGAGTCTCTCTCACACACATTCACGGCCCGTCTACCCCTTCTGGTGCCTTCCTGCAGATCTCTGATATCTTGTACTTGTAATGTCACAGCCGACCCTCTTTCTGTGAGTGTGTGTGTGTGTGTTTTTATCGCACACACACACGCACAAAGACAGGGAGCAAAGGGCCACAATAATATTGTGAGTACGAGACAAAGGCAGAGCTGTTCAAATGCGGTATGAGGGGCCGTGGGGTGAATGATACGGGCACACACACTCACACAACTTGTTGGCCGGGGAAGCAGCAGGCCAGCCAAGCTCAGAGATCAGGGGAGTTTACTGGGCATCACTCCTGGCAACCCATCCTGGGCTGTGCTCTGGTTCTTCAGTGCCAAGGGTGAGTGCCAACCTGCGAGTCTTTTCAGATGCCACAGAAGTGTGTGTTTGGCTGTGTGCACACGCTCAAACACACTGTTCTCAGGATGAATGCGTATTATCGGGAGGACTTTTGAGTGGTAACCACAACAAAACGTTATATCAGGATGAGTAAAACAAATGTTACTACAGCTTGACAAAGTTGACTACAGAAGTTAGTTAGATCTGAAAAGTTCACTCTGAATGTTTAAAAAAGCTAAATAAAATGATAAAATATTAATATCTACCTACAGTGTAAAATAATATAAAAATGCATTAAAAATGTATAGTAAATGTACTAAAACTAACGACTAACTAAACAAATTTATGGATGTTCGCAATGGTAAAAATAAATACATTAAATAAATAAATAAATGTGTTCTAAAATCAAATCAAATAATAAAATAAAATAGCAGAGTTATAAAATAAAATAAAATGTACTCACTCACTCACTGGATGCTCCCAAAGATAAAATAAAATGAAGTATATGCATATAAATACATATATAGAAATATGAAAATGATAAAATGTAATAAAATACAATATAATACAATAAACAGTAAATATACTAAAAGCAAATAAATAAATTACAAACACACACACGCACACACACAACTTGGAAGTTTCCAAAAGAAATTAATAACAATAAAAATAAATAAATATATATATATATATAAATAATCATTTTACAGTGTGTCCTTATTGGATAGCTAGGTAAACGTGTGAGTGTGTCTGGGTAAGGATGTCTGGCAGTTTCAGGTGAACTGGTAAGTGAAGGTTGTAAACTTGTAAACTGTCAGTGCTTATAGTAACAGATTGCGTCAACCGAGTCTACCTTAATCACAAAGTCAGCAAAGCAGGCCTCTACTATACCTACACCTCAATGTACATGGAGAATTAATATGACACTAATATGACCAATTTTGACCCATACTGAACCACAGAAGACAAATCCTTAAACATTTATAATCAGGGCTTATCTTTCCAAGACTTTAAGATACACAGGCACTTGCACTTGACTTTGAGGGCACTGAGAAGTGCACTAGATAATCGTTACCTTGACTTCAGTGATTACTGAAGCTTACTCTCCAAGTAAGAGAGGTCACTTCATATACAAGCACCGCACACACACAGACTCACATAGCTCGGCTCTATTGTGTAAGTGTCTATGAGAAACGGATGTTAGTCGACTGATGTCCTGATAAACAGGTCCATTAGATCCTTCGTTCAGCACTGTAGGAATGAAAACACTCTCACACCGACCAACGCCTCACACTGAAATCCCCCTTTCCCCTTCCCCAGGTCCAGAGAAAAAGTGACGAGTGATAAACTGGAATAATCGGACAATCAGCGTTCCTTGTGTCCAAGTCGATCAATATCTGTCCAGCCGTGGATTTTCTTCCTGTTAATTGCTCTAGGTAACACTTTAACTAAGAATATTTAAGTGTTAAATAGCTTAACCGAAATGACGAATAGCATTTTGTTTCATGCTGATTTTCCTCTTTTCAATTTTAAACAACTAAGCAGTAAACAGCAACATGATTCAGATTCATCCAACAATTGTGTTATTTTTTCTAGATAACATTTTAGATGTTATCTAGAAAATTGCTCTTCTAGATAACAAAGGAAAGCTGTAAGTGAAAAAAGAGTGGGGTCGGAAAAGAAGAGCACATTCCTTCACCTCCACGCAGCCAAAATCTATTCTTTATGAAAACTGATAACGGTCAGTCTTTTGTATCTCTCTCTCCAGGTTTTGTCGCTATAAGGAGGTTCAGCGTGATTATAAAAACATGTGGGATGCCGGAAGCCATAAAGTCTAAGCCCAACTCTTTGTTATGACAAGGTGTCATAGTTGAACAATTATGGCCCATATCATAATGCTGTGTCTGAACAGGTTCTCTTCCTCTCTTTCTCTCTTTCTTCTAGTTTCTCTTTATGTAAACCTTTAGAAAAGTAAAATATTTGGAAAATCTAGACCTCCCAGCCATTAGTCCCTGCTTTCTCATCATTCACGTACTGGTCAAACATAAAAAACACACTTTAGATTGAGAGACGTTTTGATTTGATTCTTCTAGTGGATCTCACTTTGCAAAGTTGAATATGGAAAAGACAATTGGCCTGTTTAACATGTGAATGAATCCTCAGCATACGTCATTGCACTTGAAAAGGCCGACTGGTGCTTTGAGAGTTCTTTGTTATCTGTAGACAGGCAAATGGTAAATTAATTTCATAATCACTGAATATCTCACTGTGTGATTTGGATGTTCAGAAGGGTGTGATATCTCCAAAATAATCCTGATAGCATGAACTGATCGCATGATTATTGTTTTGCTAGATTTAGCTTGCTGTGCTGTGTAGTGGTTCAAGAAAGCACAACAAAACTTCAAGTTCAACCCAAAATCCATTTAAATCCACTTGTCTCTAGTCCAGATCAATGCAGTCGGGATTAAATCCAGTCCATCTGTACTAATCTCTGTTTACTCCAGTCCAGTCTAATTTGCTTTAACTAATCTTAATTTAATCTTGTTGAACTCAGCTTGCCTCATCTTAATTTATTTCAGTCCAACTCAAATTTAATCCTAAACTCATTTTAATTGAATCCAGCTCAACTTGACTTAACTTTATTTAATTCAGTTTAACCCAGTACAACTCAACTCAATTTAATCTCAGTTCAACTCAGACCAACTCAACTCGGTTTACAAATGAACTGAATCTAGTCAAACTCGGTTCAGTATAATTTAGTGAATCCAGTTTATAGTAATCCAACTACAATACTCAGTTTCTCTTCAAATATGGACTTGAAACTTTAAAAGTCGCCTTTTAAACACACAAAATGACAAACTAACCTCACAGAATTGGTTTAACCTTTTAAGGAAGAAAATAAAAAATAAAAAGCAAACAGTCAAATTTTGTGGTGTGTAAAATACTGTGAATAAAAGCTGTGAATTTATGGAAGTGCCTCGTTCTCTTTTAGAGTCTCTTTCTAACTGTCTTTAACTCCATAAGGATTCAGGAATTTGTCGTCCCTCATATCCGAGTGCAAAGATACAAAATGTGTGATTATCATCATGCTTGACCGAGAGAGTGCATGTGGGTGTGTGTGTGTGATCCTGGCCTGTGGTCCTTCACGCTGCAGCCAAGATACAAAAGACCAAAACACAAAAACACAGTGACACACACATCGAACGAGAATGCAGAAGGAATCTGCTATTAAAGATAGCAGAAACACCTTTAAACACTTCATTATGTCAGCCATGCAGGTGCTTTGAGTGTGTGTGTGTATGTTCTCCACGTACCTGCTCATGTATCTGGCAGGCTGTGAGGTTGTGTTGGTGGGTGGATGGAGAGATCTGGACGTGCCTTAGCCAGCTCCTGCTATCACACACGCTCCCATCCAAACCTGTCTGCTCGCCCTGAGAGAGAAAGAGAAGAGAGAGAGAGAGAGAGATCCGTCTTTGATCTTGAACTTTTACAGATTACTGTGCAGTGACTAAAATCTCATGCCACCCACTGAGGCTTAGAAAACGGCGATACAGATAAGTCTAACTTATCGACACACACACACACACACACACTTTCTCTAGGACACTCACACACACTCTGACAACATCTTCTTCACTTCTCTCCCTCTCTCACAGACTCTTCACCGTTGCTTTTTAGTCATCAAGCAAATGTCACAAACAAAACATTCTTAACTTCATCTTAAACATCATCTAGTGGCTCAGCTCGCTGGCATCTGTTCAAGGAAGTTTTTCACATCAACACCACAATGATTTTTTTTGCACTTGGTGAAGTACTGAATTGTGAAACAGGCCTAAAAAATTGTATATAATTTATACATTTTAATACCTAGTTGGTTGTTCTCTAGTTTTTCAGCAAATATTCACAACAAACCATTTAAAGGTTTTACAATACATTTAAAATACAAATTTGAACGTAAAAAGGAAATGCTTTAAAAGGTTCTAAATTGCAGATTTGCGTGCAAACCAAATGATTTAGCAAAGACAAAAATATTTAACAAAGACACAGACTTTCACGTCTGCTCAGTAACAGTCTTCACATTACTACATTTTCTGCCAAAACTCTCGAAACAAAAATAACGGGGTTTATCTTTCACAGAGCTGCCAAACTACCGTTACAGTCCGTACGAACGTTCTCTCGCGCTCTTTCCGTGATGTGAAACAAACATGAACACATTATTAACGAATAAAAAACGGGACAGTTGCATTGAAGTGCAAACTAAACATTTCTTTTACGCCAAAACTCACCCCCTCCCAAACAACCCGGATCCCCTCACCATCGCTCTCTTTTTTAAAAGAAATATAAAAACAAATAATCGGTGTTCAAATAAACGGACAAAAACTCAATGTCAGAAAATAAACAGGATATGTAGCAAAAGAAAGTGTATCACAATGGTCTAGAAAGATATTGTTAAAACAATGTGTTTTTGTAGAAGAAAAAAAATGTTTTATTACTACAAACTAAACTCGTAAAACTAGAAACATGTGTCAGCTGTAATAACTTTCAGTTTTATTTTCTATTGTCTTGTGATGAGAACCCATCTGCTACTTTCACTGAACAAAATTCGTTTCATTTGGAAAACGATGCACACAATTGTTTACAACAAAAATAAAACGCGAAATGTCGCTCAGAAAATAAGTTTCAACGGTAAAGTACATAAAAGGCAATACAATGTTACTCAGGAAAAAAATAACGAAATACTACAAAAGTACAAAATCTATAGACAAATAGAAAATAAATAAATAAAAAGCTGGAGATGCTAGCGACACACAATGCCTTTAAGCGTTACGCTTCAGAGCCATAGCCCTTCATTTCGATACAATTAAACAAGTTCAAAGGTGAAGGATGAATGGACTTTTATTTGACCGTTAATTCGAGGCTTGTCAGAGAGAAACGTTTATATAAGAACATAAACCGCCTAACTTACCTTAAGAGCTCCGCGGAAATCTGACTGGGAAGAATGAATCAATGAAAGCGCACCAAAAAGCTCACAACAGCCCCGAATGAAGCTCGCACGCGACCGCGGTGTTCTGCGGCATGTATCCGTGTCTCCTGCTGAAGAAAAAAACTCGCTGTCTCTCTCCTCTCGTTTTGCTCTTATCAAGCGGACGACACGCTAAATTTCCCCGCGGACAAAAACTTTGTCCCAACTTCAGTCCGTTCCTCCGCGAATCGTGCGGCTGGAAGTCCCCAGGTGTCGGTCTGTGTGACTGACGGGTTTCTTCACTGTCCCTCTTCCTGGCATCGGATCGCGAGTGAAAGAGTGTGAAAAAGAAACAGAAGGACGGCGAGGATCGTCCACCGAGTGTCTCTGTCTGTCCCGTTCCAGTGGATCCTCTCTTGTCCCATGCGAGGGAGATGCGCTGAGGAGGAGGAGGAGGAGGAGGAGGAGGAGGAGGGGGGACCTGTCTCGCGTGTCCACCGGTCGGAAGTTGCGCGAGGCTCCCCCACGCTGGTGAAGAGGCGAGGTCAGCGCGAGGTCGGGACGGGGCTGCTCGTGGATAGACCCGAATCTCCCCGCTTTGATGAAGCCATCCAGTAATCACGAAATCAGCGGCGGTTTCCCTCCTCGCCTGCGTCGCGAGGCTCGTGCAAGTGAAAGTATTCAGTCCAACTCTGTTAGATTGTTTTCTTTAAGACTAAATGACGTGCAATTAACATTACGACTAATTTAAGAACTAACATTTACGTTTAGCTTTAGTAAACACCAATAGAGCTACTTTAACTTTTCAAATAATAACCTTTTCCCCCTCATGCACAATACACCTGCTCCTACTAGCCCACGACTGAACACGATAGGCCTAATACATTCTCTCCCATCTCCTCACACATGCACAAATCAAAATGCATTATTTCACCAATTAGAATTTTTTTCAACTTTTTTATGAGAAGGAAAACTTTTAACAACATCTCTACCAAATTAAATGTTTTTTTTTTCATGCAATAGGCCTATACAGACATTAGGTGGTTATTTTAGATTCACGTTTTGTTTTGCATTATTTGGCCTATTTGTTTTTTAATCTAGCGAACTATTTAAAATAAAGATTCTTCAAGTGGTTCAGCAATTAGCTAACACTCTTTTTTAGTTTCTAAAGGACTTTAGAACTTGAACGATCTCATATTGCATTAGTCACTTCTTGTTAAGAGTGAGACTCTTGGAGCCCAGCGCATGTAAGAAGCGCAATCCATTGACGGGACTATAATGACTCTGATGAAGATGAATATGTCTCCCTGGCCTATCTTTGACATTGAACTCTAGGTCTAGATAATGTCCATTGTTTAATGAAATCGCGGGGCAGAAGCGGAGGAAGGACAGGAAAAATCATGTGTAAATACGGCGGCCCTCGCCAAAGATTCCCATACACCCGCGCCCCTTGAGAACCGCAAAGAGACCCCGGTCCGCCGCGCATCGATTTCCTGCCATTCCTCGACTTGTCCATTGTTGGAAGCCTTTTTAATTTAGCCATAAATTGGGAAAGCTCAAGCTATGAGCTGTTCTATTTTCTCCCTGTCAGGATGAGGGATTTGGTTTATGATGCATTGTGTATTAAATACAAGTAATCTGGGAAAGAGATTGCCTGGCCGGGGTCTGATGGAGGCTGGTGATAGAGGCTCCTCAGCTGAATTGTTCTGAAAAGGAGGAAGCTATAGCAGATAAACTAAAGGGCCGCTGGTATCTGTACCAAGCCAGGGGTAAGACGGGGTAAGAGAGCGCACGGGACAGGGGCAACTCCTGGAGCGTCTCCGGTAGATGGCGTAGTGAGCCGGGTTTGGAAACGGGAGGAAAACTTTCCGCAGGAATGAAGTTGCATTTTTTGCATTGGTGACACGTTGTTTAATGTCATATGTGTAGGAAAACCCTGCAGGCAGTATTTGAATGGGCACAAATGTTTAATTCGATAGATTCGAGGAGTCTAGAGACTGTATTATTTAGAGAACTGGCCGCCTCTCTCTCTCTCTCTCTCTCTCTCTCTCTCTCTCTCTCTCTCTCTCTCTCTCTCTCACACTCTCCTAGATTCACGAAACGGTCGTCCATAAAATGCGTTGCTGTTCTGTTGTAAGTGATCTTAAAGATTCCTAAATGCATCTACTTTCGGAAGGCCAAATACTCTCTCTCTCTCTCCCTCTCTCTCTCTCTCTCTCTCTCTCTGGAGGGAAGCGCATCAGTCAAGCGCGGAGCTGTGGAGTACCGAGACCGGGAGTCATTTCTTTTCACGGCTGCGAAATTGCTGCACACAACGCCGTACACATTAAGGCGTCAAATTGCTAGATGGAACATGAAAGATTCAGTTGTATTGCCTCCAAATAGAAAATCGCCCGAACGACCTACAATGCAACTCGACGCTTAAACATGATTGAATTCAATAAAACTGAATTTAATCCGACCCTATAATGAATTTAGTAAATAAAAGCACTATCATTTAGATGGCAGATTTTTTTTTGTTTGGGTGTTTGTTAAAACTACACGTTACTGCTGACTGCACATGGATCAATGACAAATTGCTACAGATATCAGAGATGATTCTTGGGAGAAATCCTTTAAAACAATCAAGTTTAAACCACGTGTTTGTAATCATGTAGTCTTAGACTCTGAAAATGTGGTGGAACAAGTACAAAATACTAAAATAGGCCTACAATATTTTCAAAATTATTACTTTCAAAAAGTTTTCAAACTCTTTTGTTAAAAATATTGATTACAAATATAGCCCATTACTTTTTTAGGACACGATTAGCCTATCTTTTCTCAATTTCTTAACCTGAACAAAACTTTCATGTTTCATAAAAAGGATATATGTGATAGCCTTAATACTAGCCTACATAAAAATGACTTGACTTGCTTGACAGAGGTTCACAAAGAGGTCCTCTCTATTTCATGTTTAGCTTTTTTTGTCACATGACAAAAAATGGAGATGCATCCCCACGTTTGATACGCCACATTAATACGACTTGTTTTAGGCTATTTGATTGGCATTTTTCAAGTATTAATAACATTTTAAAACAGAATTGCTATAGGCCTACTGATTATTTTTAAATAAATAATAAATCATTATACAAAGCTTATGCCAACATTACTTTTTTCTTCTTTCAAAATATTCGATTTTTAAATGAAACTTTTCCCCCCTCCTTTCTACAATCACTGGATAGTTACACCACCTAACTTTACCCACCCATTTTTGAGTAAGTACAACATAAATATTAAAATCACATTTAATACAGAAGTTCATCAAATAAAAGTCATTGAATTGCTTCATTTGAATGTGTTTTTAATTAACCTAATAGATTAGGAAAAGCGAGTCACTTCATTTACCCATAGCCTAACAATTAATAACTACAAAACATGTTGTGATCGGAGCATTTAGGAGGATTTTTAAATGTTTGGCGTTTTATAAAC